ATTACTGGATCCATTGCATGGCTCAACAATAAACTCAGATTTAGAACACTCTAAACAAGATAAGCATTTCCCTGTGAGGAGATGTTAAAATCGTCAAGTTTTTGAAGCAAAGAAAACAAGACATACCATCTAATACGAATCCATTTGGGCATGACAACAAAAATTGACAGCGTAATCCCGTGTACCCCTGGTAGCAGTCGCACCCGCCCGTCTGCCCGTTGCACCGGCCGTTCCCGCTGCAGTTCTTGAGCAAGTCGCACTCCTCCGTGCAGCTCGGCCCGTAGAGGTTCTTCCCGCATATGCCCGACCCGCCGCCGCCCGTCTCCTCTGAGCAGTCTGCTCCCGTGTACCCCTGGTAGCAGTCGCACCCGCCCGTCTGCCCGTTGCACCGGCCGTTCCCGCTGCAGTTCTTGAGCAAGTCGCACTCCTCCGTGCAGCTCGGCCCGTAGAGGTTCTTCCCGCATATGCCCGACCCGCCGCCGCCCGTCTCCTCTGAGCAGTCTGCTCCCGTGTACCCCTGGTAGCAGTCGCACCCGCCCGTCTGCCCGTTGCACCGGCCGTTCCCGCTGCAGTTCTTGAGCAAGTCGCACGCCTCCGTGCAGCTCGGCCCGTAGAGGTTCTTCCCGCATATGCCCGACCCGCCGCCGCCCGTCTCCTCTGAGCAGTCTGCTCCCGTGTACCCCTGGTAGCAGTCGCACCCGCCCGTCTGCCCGTTGCACCGGCCGTTCCCGCTGCAGTTCTTGAGCAAGTCGCACTCCTCCGTGCAGCTCGGCCCGTAGAGGTTCTTCCCGCATATGCCCGACCCGCCGCCGCCCGTCTCCTCTGAGCAGTCTGCTCCCGTGTACCCCTGGTAGCAGTCGCACCCGCCCGTCTGCCCGTTGCACCGGCCGTTCCCGCTGCAGTTCTTGAGCAAGTCGCACTCCTCCGTGCAGCTCGGCCCGTAGAGGTTCTTCCCGCATATGCCCGACCCGCCGCCGCCCGTCTCCTCTGAGCAGTCTGCTCCCGTGTACCCCTGGTAGCAGTCGCACCCGCCCGTCTGCCCGTTGCACCGGCCGTTCCCGCTGCAGTTCTTGAGCAAGTCGCACGCCTCCGTGCAGCTCGGCCCGTAGATATTTTTTTGGTCAAATTTCGTTTGTTTTCCCGTACAGGTTTTCTCTCTCCGGTGCTTGTGAGATTGATTGAGCAATCGGATCCTGTCCATCCTGGAAAGCAGTCACACGATCCCTGTGTACCGGTGCACCGGCCGTTCCCGCTGCAGTTCTTCATCATGTCGCAAGTTGCATTACAACTTGTCATGTATGCATTCTTTCGGCAGACTTCGGTTGAATTTATGCCTTTGTTCTGCAATTGGATAGCAAGAATCTTCCTGGATCTTGGCATTTCCAATTTGAACGTATATCCCTTGAATGTTTCATGTATGGGAGATACACTGGTTGCTTTCCCCTGCCACAATAATGCATGTCATTTCCCTGTGCTCTTCACTTTCCTTATATTCTTACCTGTATATTCAGAGAAGTGATGATGATCACGAACAGGAACAGTGAGTTGACTTCCATGTTTTTCCATGTGCACATCATCTGAAAGGTCAAAGGCTGCCTCTACTTTCTAATCAGGTCAAAACTAGCCGCGCACTACACACTCAATCCAAAGATGCGAGCTTGCGAATGCCACCTCACAAGGGGAGAGAGGTCACCTCAACAAGCTGTTGTTCCTGTTGTCCCATCATCAGCGTGTTGACATGCTTCTAAGCTTCTTTTCCACGTCGTTTCTCCTCCTGCTGCTCTGTCCCCTGCATTGACTGTTCTGCACGACTACCCCGTCCCGCCTTTCGCCTCCTACCCACCACCCACATTGCCCTCACCACCCACACTGCCTTGACTACCCCTACTACCCCCTCTCTACAGCCTGTCAACCCCCTCTAGCCCCTCTCTACCCACACTACCCAAACCACCTACACTACCCACACTACCCACACTACCCACACTACCCCTATCCAACTCATACCCTACCACAGTGTCAGTTTGACTGGATAAAGTACCTACCCCCACCCCTATATTCCCATGTCACCACCCCGCACTTCTCACACATCGCTCCGTACATTTTGGGGTTGACGTCGCCATATATTAATTATAGAATGTAAACTAATTGTACCAGAATATATACTTGAGTTTGTACCTGAGTCACCCTTAATAAGACTTCTAGTACCAGATTGAATACATATATGGTACCGAATCCACTGAGTCTTGAGAGGACCGAGTTTGACTTTTTTACTAGAACTGTTCTTTATTTGCAGTCCGTTTACTCAAAGTTAAGTTAAAAATCAGTACGAGGACAATGAGGAGAGTCGAGGAGCCTCGGCGAACAAGGAAACGGCAGCGCTGGGCCCGGGCCCTCAGCGCCAAGGGGGGGCATCCAGCCGGGGGGTCAGCGGGGCTAGCCAACAGTGCTACGATCGGACTCCAGTTGATCCGACCAACGGGAATCCGAGCGGCTGAAGGTCTCAGTTTACCGTGACTCTCACACTGCCGTAAACCCGCGCGATAAGTTCATCAGATCACATTATCGGCTATATATTCCCGGCGGACAGCTTGTCGGTCATCATGGCCCGTGACGTCTAAGAAAGAGTGCTGCATCAGCGAACTTTGAAATTTCACTGTCAATCAACTATTTTCATGTTTCGAATCTGTGAAAGAGGTTTCATTACTCCTCAGGCTCCCCTGAGTCCTCGGCTCTGAGGTAACCTGCAGCTCTTCTTAGCATGCATCCTAATTTCCACGAAAAGTCTTCACGACCTGTCTGCTCGTCGAACCGTTCTCTGTAGCAGTCGTCGTGGTCTTCGTCGTAGCAGTCTTGCGCCTGACAGCAGGACGAAAGTTCAGTTGAGAAAGGAAGGATGCAATGCAGGGCAACCGGTCGCATGTTCACGTCGTAAGCTCTGTCGCCGAACTAGCGTATTGGATCACTACTTACCAAATACGTCTCATCGTTCAAACCTCATCGTACTGAGTCCTCACATAGCCGGAATACCATTGTGGTTCGCCATTCCAGGCGTCTGAGGGTTCGTACCCCAGAGGCCTCACCCGATCACTGAACTTCTTGTCCTTCAACCAGGGCCTGTTCATGATGTCATTCACTCCTCCACATCAAGACCTTGGCACCATTCGTAAGGTCGGTGGGGTGGTTCAATAGCTGAGAAGTAATCCTCCCCTACGAGAAGAACTGAGACACCAGGGGCTTCCGACTTCAATGCCTCACCTGTATCAGGAATGCGCTCTACCAGTGCTGAACTGCTATGGTGCTCGATGACAAGAACTGCGAGGATGTGAGCAAATTGAGCAGCGTGTCCAAAAAAGTTCGGAACCGGCGAAGAGGGACAAAGATGCTAATGCAAGGACACCAGCTCCTCTGTACATTTCACCTCTGCTGATAGTTTCAAAAACGAGAGTCAGCCATGTGGTTACTTTGCAGTATAAAATTCGGGTAAAGATCCTCCGGCTAACATAACGTCCGACTGATACAATCAGTGCAATATTGCCAGCACGTAGATTCACAGACAACGATGGTCGACATAGACAAACTATGTGGTAGGAAACAATCCAGGGTTCAACGTCTTGGTGCAGACAGGCGATGGAGCAAGGGAAGGAGAAGGCAGTCTTCCCTTCAACGTCGATCCAATCAAAACCAACCCCTTTTCAACATCCTAATCTTAATCCTCCTCGTTGTCCTCCTGTTTATATTCCTCCACCCTCCTGCTCCTCCTGCTCCTCCTGCTCCTCCTGCTCCTGCTCCTCCTCCTCCACTGCCACCGCCGCTGTCACACATCCTTTTGCATCACTGACCTCATTGCGCCGCAGCCATGCCAAGAGCCAGGGCCGTTACATTTCCCTCCATCTGTAACTGTTTGTTTTTTCCTTTACGACACAGTCCACCTCAGCCACATACCCACTTGATCACCAGTACCCCCTTCGTATTGGGATATGGGACGGGTATCGAAATGTATGTGTTTCCTTGTCCCTTCTCCCTCCCCATTCCTACTCCCTCCCTCCCTCCCTAACTCAGTCACTCCCTCCTTAACTCATCAGTCTCTCACTCGCTCACTCGCTCACTCTATCCCTTTCTTCCTCCATCTCTCCATGCCTTGCTTCGTCCCTCGCTTGCTCCTTCGATTTTCTTTCATCAGGCTACTTCAACACGAATAAGCTAAAATTCCATTACTGAAGGTTTCACCTGCCACTTTCCAGCGCATCACCAGTAGCAAAACAAAATTATGTCCATCATTGTATGAATGTTGGTTTACCTGATTCTGATAGTTTCCCCTACCTTCTCTCCACCTCATTGAGGGTTCGACTCTAGTTTGATGTTGTTTTGCAGGTCACCCTGAAACCTCGTCCGATTCTTGCTTCCCTTTCCCCTCGATCCTCCCTCTCTCCTTCCTTCTTGTGAAAAGAAGCCTGAACTCAACTCTCCCTGAGCCGCAGCTGCGCCATGGTTGCTCTTCGATTCCGCCATGCCGGAGAACTCATGGAGGTGGAGGTGGATTTGAACGACGGACCAATAGTTCTTCGTGCTCAAGCCTCTTCCATCACTGACGTCCCCATGGACTCCACCCGCCTGCTCCTCGTCCGCCCAGGACAAGCTCCTCTCGCCATCTTGGACACTCACGATCTCTCAAAGCTGGGGATCAAGGCGGGCGATGAGATCCGAATCGAAGAAGGGGACACCGCAGCAGTGGGAGTGAGGGAGGAGGTTCAGTCTACACCCTCAGCATCGGCCAGGCCTCGGCAGTCTGTCTGGGCGTCCGGCCTGTTCGAAGGCAGCATGTTGGTGAGATCTGATGGATCGACGACCCAGCCTGAGGCTCTAGAAGATTCTATGGTGGTTGGCATCTACTTTTCTGCCCATTGGTGCCCCCCCTGCAGGATGTTTACACCCGCTCTTGCTGAGGCTTACAGGAGCATCAGGTCTGCTAACAAGAAGTTCGAGATTGTCTTCGTCTCGTCGGACCACAACGAAGCAGGTTTCGATGAGTACCTCCGCTCGATGCCTTGGCTGGCGCTGCCGTTTGCAGAGAGATCGATCAAGAACAAGCTGAGCGGCATGTTCGGAGTGTCAGGGATCCCTTGCCTCGTGCTGCTTGACGGGGCTCGTGGGAGTTTGATCACGAGAGATGGCCGTCAGGTCATCATGCAGGATAGATTCGGCACGAACTTCCCGTGGAGCACAGGAGGGCATTCCAGCTCGCAACCGCCACCGCAGCCGCAGGGTGCCGGAGCTGCGCAGAAGATCACTGTCACGGACTTGTCCAAGATTCTTCAGAATGTCACGACCAAGGGAAGCAAGTCGAGTGCTGAGATCGAGAGGGAGAAGGGGATGCAGGAGATGGAAGCAAGGATCGCGAGTGGCTCTCGGCACGTGCTGATCTACGAGGACAAGGCCATCCAGGCGCAGGCCCTCAAGGAGATCCCAGTGGACGAGATCCGTCGGCTGGCCGTTGAGGAGCCGATGAACCTTGGCCCTAACGACTCTGTGGTGAGGCACCTGCTGCGGTGGTTCAAACATCGATGCTTCAAGTGGGTCAACAACGCTCCCTGTGATCACTGTGGCTCCTCCAGTACCAAGAACGCTGGCGCCGATCGGCCCAACGTGTCAGAGCAGGCCCATGGCGCTGGGGTCGTCGAGCTGTACCACTGCAACGACTGCAACAAGACCACTCGCTTCCCGCGCTACAACCATCCTGGCAAGCTGATGGAAACCAAGAGAGGAAGATGTGGAGAGTGGGCCAACGCCTTCACCCTGTGCTGCATCGCCATGGGGTTTGAGGCCAGGCACGTGGTGGACTGGACGGATCATGTCTGGACGGAAGTCTTCTCTGAGGATCAGCAGCGATGGATCCACTGTGATCCCTGCGAGGACAGCTGGGACAGCCCGCTGCTCTACTCCGAGGGCTGGGGGAAGAAGCTGTCGTACGTGATAGCGTTCTCCAAGGACGAGGTGGTGGATGTGACGTGCAGGTACACGAGGCAGTGGGATGAGTGCAGGACGAGGCGGAGCAAGTGTCCTGAGTTGTGGTTGGCCGAGTACATCCAGACGATCAAGCTGTCGAAGCTGTCTCAGATGCCTCCCCAGCGGCAGAACGTCCTTCGTCAGCGATGGGAAAAGGAGGTGAAGGAGCTGGAGCCTAGAAACTACGTGAAACCATCGGAACCAACTGAGCCAGCGCTGCCAGGGAGGACGACGGGAAGCTTGGAATGGCGAGCAGCTCGTGGAGAGCTGGGGAACGGAGAGCCAGTCAGTGACGTGGCTCATGCTGCAGGAGAGGAGGTGGGAGGAGTCAGGAGGAGTGAGACGCACGGTGGACAGCACGCGGACTCGAAGCCCTTTGATGACTCCTCCTTCTTGGGAGCGAAGATTAACGAGGTCAAACTGCGCGGCATCTCAGTGAAAGCCGAGCAGGGCCCCACGGGAGTCGTGTGCGGCATCCGAGCCCACTACCTGCACTGCAAGGACGACACCTGCTCCCTCCTGGACGCGCCCGAGCACTTCGGGTCTTCAGGCTCGTCCCAGGCGGAGGTGAAGCGGATCAGTCTCGATGAAGACGAGTACATCTCAGAGGTGAAGGGCCGAGCTGGTGCCCTGCTGGATGCCATCGAGTTCAGCATTTCGAAAAGAGGGACCAAGAGTGTTCGGGTTGAGCGATTCGGGGGAGGAGGAGGGAGCGAGTTCAGGATGGAAGCGCCGGAGAGCCACGAGATCATTGGGTTCCATGGCGCTGTCAATGGGCATCTGCACAGCATCGGAGTGATCTTCCGCCGGTCTCACGCTAAGGAGGAGAAGAGAGAGGAGGGGAAGAGAGAGGAGGTGAGTTGGAGCTTGAGGCGCTTGGTTAATACCCTGACTTTTTGGTGCCACAGCAGGGCTCAGGAGCCAAGGGAGGAGCCATGAGCGAGGAGGAGGAGGCGAAGTTGAGACTGCAGCAGCTGATCCGCGAGAATTTCTTCGCCATCCAACAGGAGGTAACGAGAGAGAGGGAGGAGGTCGAAGAGCTCATGGGGTAACAGGGAAAGATCACGAACCCCAACGAGATCGCGGCGATCGCAATAGAGAGGGCGAGGAAGAAGCTGAGTGAGATGAAGACATCGCAAGCATGACGTGGCGGAGCAGCGCAGTAGAAGGGAGGCAACAGTCAGTGTTGTCATGAACAAGGTGGTTGAGAGACGAGCGATCATAGATAAACTTGACCTTTTCGAAGTAAAACTCGTCCTACCTTGCCAGCGCAGCCTATCCCTCAGATGGACGAGGATGAGGAGAAGAGGAAGGTGCTGTAGGAACAAGTCAAAGTGTCAAGGACGAGCGGAAGGTGTTCATCAGATGTTCGTTTACAGTGTCGAACGTGCTTGTGTAACAGTGTTTCAAGATGCCGGTTGAACTGTGAAAATATTTGTTCCAGTGTAAAGGAGGACAAAGGAGGACTGATCGTTTTGGTCAGTTGTCACTCCTGGAAATGTACATCATGGTGACAGTGTTTCAAACATTGGTTAGAGTGTGGAAACGTTTGCAGTGCAGAAAAGACTGAAAGATTAACATGCATTGACACCATCAGTTCCAAGACAGCAGAATCGCAAGAATCTCGTTCTTTATTTCCAACTGAAAACATTTACCCTATACTTTACAAGATAAATAACTTAATAGCGGTACTGCTCAGGCTTGTAAGGGCCGCCAACAGGAACCCCAATATAGTCAGCCTGCTCCTTGGAGAGGGTGGTAAGCTTGGCTCCGCAGTGTCCCAAGTGAAGGCGGGCGACCTTCTCGTCGAGAACCTTAGGGAGGATGTACACCTTCTTCTCAAACTTGCCGGTCTTCTGGGCTCCGCAGTTAGCCCAGATTTCGAGCTGAGCCATGGCCTGGTTGGTGAAGGAGCAGGACATCACGAACGAGGGATGGCCAGTGGCGCATCCAAGGTTGCAGAGACGACCCTCAGCAAGAAGGATGACACCCTTGCCATCGCTCTTGACGAAGCGGTCGACCTGGGGCTTGATGTTCTGGCGGGTGACGCCGGCGCCCTTGAGGAGGCCAGCCATGTCGATCTCGTTGTCAAAGTGACCAATGTTGCCGACGATGGCGTTGTTCTTCATGCGCTGCATGTGCTCGAACATGATGATGCCCTTGTTGCCGGTGGTGGTGATGAAGATGTCGGCGTACTCAACGACGTTGTCGAGGGTGTTGACCTCGTATCCCTCCATGCAGGCCTGGAGAGCGCAGATCGGGTCGATCTCGGTCACGATGGTGCGGGCACCGGCAGCCTTCATGGCCATGGCGCATCCCTTGCCAACGTCTCCGAAGCCGCAGATGACAGCAACCTTGCCGGCGATCATGACATCGGTAGCGCGCATGATACTGTCGGGGAGGGAGTGCCTGCATCCGTACAAGTTGTCGAACTTGGACTTGGTGCAAGAGTCGTTGACGTTGATGGCGGGGAAGAGGAGGGTTCCGGACTTCTCCATCTCGTAGAGGCGGTGAACACCGGTGGTGGTCTCCTCGGAGACTCCGACGCACTGCTCAGCGACCTTGTGCCACTTCTTGGGGTCTTGCTTGATGGTGTCACGGATGATAGAGAGAACGCACTTGAACTCCTCGTTGTCGGTGGAGGCAGGGTCGGGGATGGCACCGGTGGCGGCGAACTCCTTCTCCCTCTTGACACCCTCGTGGATGAGGAGGGTAGCATCTCCTCCGTCATCGACGATCATCTGGGGACCAGAGCCATCGGGCCAGGTGAGGGCCTGGAGGGTGCACCACCAGTACTCCTCGAGGGTCTCTCCCTTCCAGGCGAACACCTTGGAGGTCTTCTTGGCGACGACGGCGGCAGCAGCGTGATCCTGGGTGGAGAAGATGTTGCAAGAGCACCACCTGATGTCGGCTCCGAGCTCATACAGAGTCTCGATTAGGACAGCGGTCTGAATGGTCATGTGGAGGGACCCCATGATGCGAACGCCCTTGAGAGGCTTCTTCGGTCCGAACTCCTCGCGGGTGTTCATCAGACCAGGCATCTCGACCTCGGCGATGTCGAGCTCCTTGCGGCCAAACTCCGCAAGGGACATGTCCTTAACCTTGGAATCCTCTGCCATCTGTGGGAAACTGTCAGCGCAAGCTCAGGGTAATGCAGGGTCGGATCGTGAGCAGGGAACTCCACCATAGATCAAGAGGAAGGCAACAACAGAAGAGCCATTGCGAGGAGGAGGAGGAGGAGGGACATCGAAGCAGGGGAGAGGGAGTGCATAGCAGGTTGTGCTCTGTGTGGGCCGCATGGCGTCACCTTGTTGTTTTGTCTCACGTCATGTCGGGCATCCACTATATAGTCCCACCCCTACATTCAGGGGTGGGTTCAAATCAATTTTCCACATATTACCAAAGTTTACAAATATTGATGATAAAAGCGAATATAATTTATCTGTATTTGAAATTATAGAATTAAAGTTTTCAAATTTGTTCAACTGATACATGAAAAGGAATCTACAGGAAAGTTTTCTAATTGAAAAGAGAGGGGTAAGGGTCCTCACTCCACGTGCCTCTCTCATATTTTTGGACGCTACTCGGTGTAAACCCCAAAAAAAACAGACCACCCTCGATCTTGTCCACCCCCCTTTTCCCCAACACGGACCCCTGACATTTTTAGTGACCCCCACAAAAATACACCCTACCCTCAAGAACATACGCCTCTACCTGAACACCCGTACTTTTACCATCAAATACCCCATCTTTTATATGGGTAGAAAGTCATCCACTAACGAGTGCACCCCCATATTCACCTACCCTTTACCCCACAATACTCTCAAATGTCCCCAAACCCTCCTGCTTCAGAACTACCACTTCTACCCCTCACTTTCCCCTAAATATACCCACCCTTTCTATGGAATCCATAGAGGACTACCCTACCATCCATATTACTGCCCAGTACCCCTGGTATCGTATGGCTTGCCAGCAGCCTCTACACCGCTTGCAAATGGATCAGACCTACCACCACCCCCTTAATGACTGTGTAAAATAGGGGTACTTGCAGATGAACGCAGGGTCATCTGTACGGTACCTTTGAAGTAGGAATCCTTCGTTTATCAAGCTGACAGGGGGGTGGGGTACAGAAGTGAAGGGATTACTATAGGGTAGGGTAGGGAGGACTTACAAGACGAGGGTGATTTGTGGGTTCAAGTAGGGGTAATGCTGAAGATTGCTGACCATCGATGGAGAGGGTGGGGTTGGTCTAAGGGGCAAGTGGTCATAAAGGAATCTCCGTTACACATACGGATGAAACGGTCAATGTTGTCAGTGACTTCCGGGTGTGCGGCCCGGCCGGCTCTGGGACTCCGAGAAGACCCTTCAGCCGGCGGCCGGCCCAGCGGCCAGTCGGCCGGCCCGGTGACGTGGGGATGAGGGTGCGCTTTGGATCTGAGGTGATGCAGGTTGTCAGGCAGCTGCAGCGCGCGATGGTGGTGAGGCAGCAGCGAGTTATGCTGCCATCGCGCACTTTGTCATCATCATCATCATCATCATCATCATCATCGTCATCGTTGTCATCGTTGTCATCGTTGTCATCGTCATCGTCATCAACGTCATCATCACTACAGTCCTCGCTCTCTCATTCACTTTCTTCCCGTTTCACCCAACGTTGGAGGAATGGGCCCTCTGCAAACGTCCTCCAACTCAGCGCTTCTTCCTTTGATGCGAGGATAGCCACGAGGTGCTTCTCCACCACCCCTGCGAAGATGGCAGAGGGGGACAAGAAGGGGTTCTTTCAAAGAGCATTGGATGAGATGAAACAGGAGACTGACAGAAGTCTGGGAAAGTTATCTAGAAACATGAATCAGTCTTTCTTGTTCTCAGACACAGGCATGCCCCCTGAGCTCCCGTGGATAGACTGCAGTGATGAGAAGTTGCTGGACAAATTCTGGTCAGTCAGCGATGGTGACCTTGGAGGTAGCTCGACATGCACGCTCGAGAGATCAGAAGAAGGACACATACGATTCTATGGAAATACGCAGCTCACGATAATCCATCGAGAGGAAGAGCGCAAGCCAGGCTTCTGGACCAGCTTCGTCAAACCTCCGGGCCCGAAACTTTCCAAGTCGGGGTTTGCGGGGTTTTCAAGCAAGCCGTTCGAGCTTGTAGATGACATCGACAACTATAACGTGATCCTTCTCAGGCTAAAGGCAGACGGGCGGATGTATTACTTCAACATCCAGACTGAGTCCCTTCCCGGCGACTCAGTGTTCCGAGCCGAAATTCAGACGAAGCCGGGAGTATGGCAGACAGTCCGACTGCTCCCTCGACACTTCCGGCTCGTGTCTCACGGCGTCCCCTGCTTGTCGACACCGAGGATGAACTGGCGCTGTGTGAGGACAGTCGGCATGGCGATCAATGACGGGAAGGAAGGGCCATTTGACCTGACGTTGGAGAGCTGCAAGCTCAACTTTGACGAACGTGTGGAGCTGGTTGACGATACATGAGCTCTTTGCAGTTACTTCGCTGCCCTGCTCTTAGGCAGAGATGGAAGAATCTCATGCACAAATTTATAAATCTTGTTGCATCCTCTTCGTCTGAGAGCACTTCCTTGAATCGCCCCGATCGAGTCAAGGACTGCAAGAGTATACCTCTCCTCCATGGCCTCGTGAGTTTGGCGTCGCTTGCAGCAGACGTACAGAACTCAGTGGACGTTGCGCGCGATAAATGCTCCGACGGTTGCGCGCGTGGTGTCCTCAGACCTGCCAGGAGGTCAACGAGCTATCAGCGACAGGGAGTAGAGCAACGTCGTCGTGCTGGCGGCCTGACGGGGAGTTGTGCCCTCCTGCTGAGCTTGTCACTCAACACACAAGCATGCAACAGGACTCGCCGTCATCTCGTCCCTCTCATCGTCCCGCCTCCTTAAGTTGTACCGGAACAGCACCATGTCGAGCTGGTCCAGGAGCACCTGCGCTGAGCGTGAGGAAAGCAAGGAGGAGTTGACGGGTGTCCGAGCTACTTGAATGCGGTCAGGATGAGGGATTGGTTGATGCTCCTCTCCTGGCTGCTCCGAGGTGGTGCTCCCAGCGTGATACTGATGGAGATTGGCTTCCAGGAACGAGGCAGAATCTGTAGGTCGCAGCAAGCTTTCGTCGTATTCCCGCAGCTGACCTCTCTTGTTCTCCCTCACTTGGGCTGAATGAGCATGGCGCACGAGAATGAAGATGGTCGCAAAAATGGTTATGAACGCAATGAAGATGTAAACCGGTAACACATTCGAGTTCGCGAGGTCCCCGACTTCAGCGCGGCAGATCGGAGGTCTCATGTTGACTTCCACTCTCATGCTGCAAGTGAAACCCCACGGACACTTCGCTGCAACCTCACCCGAACATGCAGTTGCGTTGCCATTTGAGGGAGAAATCTCTACCAGCTCAATGCTGGCAGCGTGAACCTGGACCGGTCGCTCCACCACCCAAGAACAGAACTTGGTGTAGACGCTTTCAGGCAGAGTGAAGGTTACCCACATGGTGAGAGGATCCCAGTTCCCATCCTCAGAGATGACCTTCCCAACTTCCGAGGCGACGGGCAGGTAGCTCGAGTTCTCCCCGCACCGTGCTTGCTCGCTCAAGCAGAAGCTGGCATCGTCATTGCAGATCTTGTCAACTGACACCCTGGAGGCATTGACGGAGAGATATCGGCCAAGAGTTTCTCTGAAAGTGTCATACGGGATCGTCCTCCCATGGCGGATGCACCAACTCGAGAATGGCCTACGTAGAAGAGCGACGATGGTAGGAGACCTTCCTGTTGTCGATCCCTCCGAAGATCCGCCTCTGCGATAAGACAGGAGCAGAGTGTTTGCAGCATTGCGCTCCACCAACATCGCAATCAGGGCAAGAATGTACCAGATCTGGATTCTCCAGGAGAATCGCATCATCCGCGCCAGCTCGTGCCAATGGCGAGGGCCTGAACCTGAGGGAAGTTTGCGGAACAAACTTCAGCCTCTTGGTCTGGAATATCACAAGGGATACCCAAGGGCGTCTTGTCGTCTTCAGGAGAACAAGCTCTTGTGCAAGATCCGCTCCGTCGCCATCCTCCTTCTCCCCCCCCTCCTCAGCCCGTCAACGTGGCTTTTGCGTTCCCTTGTCCAGCCATGTCGGCGCAAGGTTTTAGTCAAACTTGACTAAACCCTTTCACTCAATTGGCATTGAGTACCCCCACCCACCCAAATAACCAACTTCAAGTATCCACCCCACCACATTTACCCCTCACCCACTACCCCTTGGCCCTACTGCCTCCACCCCCCACCAAAATCTCTTTCCCCTCCACCATGACATGGCGAAAATGGCGGCCGGAGGAGTAGCGCCCTTGACAAACACTTGCGAGTCTTCATCCTCCTCGTCCTCATCAGCATCCTCGTTCCTCTCAGTCTCTCTCCCCCCTTGCGGCTGCACTTGACCAGAAGACTGCTGACACGGTTTCTGGGGTTCGACTAGTGCCTGGCTTGCACTGCCCAGCTCGTTGCTCTCCTTGCCACTTTTCAACCAACATTGAAGCCCTGCTGTCGAACAAACTCTTCCAACCATGAGGAAGATTCAGTTTCTCCATCTCATGCTCTTCCTGCTCTTGTTAGCATCTGTGTCAGTTCTATGGTAAATTTGCCAAGATCTGCAAGGTTTGAATCGGAACGACTGATTTTTTGCGATTTGAAAGTAAAACCGAAGCGGGAAAGGAGGAGAAGAAGAAATCGGAAGAAGCCTCGAAGAAAAAGGAAGAGACGGCCAACACCAAGGTGACAAACTCTTCTCTCAATACCAAACGAGCTTTATGCTCCACCTCTCGTTTCTCCCTGTTCTCTTATTGCCCCTCAGATCGAGTGCGACTTCGTGGAGAAGTTGGATCACTACGAAAGGCTGGGTGTGTCAAGGGATGCAAACGATAAGGAGATCAAGGTAGAAGCAAGTTACAAGGAGCTCTGATGACGAGCTTGTTCACCAGCGAGCGTACAGAAAGCTCAGCTTGAAGTACCACCCCGACAAGAACACCGGACCGAACAAGGATTGCGCACAAAAGCACTTCATCGCAACAGCCAAGGTACTCCCATTCCTCTGTCTTTCCCTTCCGTCCCCTCCCCGTCCTCTCCCCCGTTCTCATTTACGCTTGCCTTTCCTGCATCGCGCAGGCTACTTACTTTTCTTCATTCCGGATTCCCTTCCCGTCCCTCCCTTCCTCCCACCCTCTGATCCTTCTCCTCTACTTCTGACGTATCGACAGGCCTACGAGATTCTCAGCGATGAGCAGAAGAGGAAGCAGTATGATACCTTCGGCGACATGGAAAACATGGAGGTCAATATACCAGCCGTCCTCTGCATCCCCGCTCTGACATCGTTGACGCTGCAGAGCGGTCAGGCAGGCTTCGAGGGCTTTGAGGGCTTTGACCCCTTCAACGTCTTCCAGCAGTTCTTCAACAGGCAGGCGTCGGGCACGAGAGGAGGCAGGGCAGCTGTTTGAGAAGCAGCGAGACGGGCTGAGAGGGTGTTGGCAGGGTCCTTTCATGCAAGCTCCGGCCCTCAACACCAGCAGTTCTTCTTCTTCGACGAGGGTCCCAACGACTTTGACATGGCCGACTGCATCAACTACTGCATCCTGCAGTACCGTCAGGTCCTGTCGGCCAGCCCATGGCTGCTTGTGGTGACGCCAGACCGGCAGGCTGGGTATGTCGGCGACCTGGAGGCTCAATGTCAGCATGAGTGCATGGATCAGATGAACCAGGTGCGGGATGAGCGGCTTTGTCCTCCGTCTATCTCGTCCCTTGAGAGCTGAGGAGTTGCATCTCCCTTGATCGTTTCTGTCCTCCTTGTGCTCTTTCCTCTCTCCCTTTCCTCCTTCCCTCTCCCTTCCCTCTCTCCTTCTCCCTCCCCCCTCGATGGATGGTTTTACCTTTTCCCTTGCAGGGACAGGGCCCGGTCTTCGACGGTTTCCAGCAAATGTTCCAAGAAGATCCATTCCAGAACGCTTATGGGCAGCAATATCACTACATCAATGAGCAACCTGTACTGTATTGCTGTGCTGTCCTCCTTCTCATCACCTTGATTGCTCTCAGTACTACATGGAGCAGACTTTCGATCCCTTCGACTTTGTGCAGGATGACGGCGGAGGGTTCCAGGCAAGTGGACGAGACGAGGGTCTTGGCTCTTCTCACTCCAAACGTTTGACCCTCCAGGGGCAGAGGGCCAACACAAGGGCCAACATCCTCGAGCACATGATGCGAGGAGGAAGTACTACGGGCCCACAGGTGCCTCCGTCTCACCCTCCTCCTCCGACGTAGCTGAACGCCTTTCGCTCACAGAGGGGGAGAGGACCGCAGGTGATGTACGAGGATCCATACGGCAACCATATGTGGCAGGTTCGACCCTGCTGTCCTATTTGAACTGTGGACTGACGCGAGGGCTAGGACACTTTCTATGACGAACATCCTGGCTTCGAGTATGCTCAGGTGGACAGAAGAGACCGAGAAGCTCTTCTTGGTTGTGCTCACGCTGGGCATGCAGGAATTTCCGGGGCCGGGTGGCCGGGGGTCAGCTTCGTCGGGCAAGCGGAATCGAAGGAACAGGGACATGTATGATGAGTTCTAGGAGGAGAGATGACGCGAGTAGATGGCATGGGAAGTAACCGTTGCAGTGACGGGAGGATTGAGTAGTTTTTACATTAGTCTACTAATGAAACAGCTAGTTGATACGTGCTGGACCAATCTTGATTCACTGAGGTTGAAACTGGTCAAGGGTGTCCAGACGAGTGCTGAAAGTAATCTTGCGAACAGATCTTGTGAACGGAAGTTGTCTGTAACAACCTCACATACTTCTGCCATCCCAGTTGTCCTCTAGACTTCTTATATCTCATCGCTCATCATGTCGCATCGCAGGTACCACTTCAACCAAGAGATGTCTTCGCGCCTCAAACTCTCGTTTCCTGCACCTTCATTCTTCCCTGGGGCCTGATGTTCAGAAGACATCGTCTCTAAGTGCTGGCTCAGAAATTCAGAGCTCGAGAAGCTCCATGAAGTACTAATTTCCGTTGCATCCGACATGTTCATATCCTCGCCCCAGAGCAAATCCCCTGCACGAACGTTCCTCTCTGTTGTACCCCCGTCACTCTCGCTGGACGCTCCCTCATTTCTAGATTCATTCTCAGCAGCAACCTCACTACTCCATCGGCTGAATGGCCATCGGCTGATGCCTAACTTGCGGCAGGCGTGCTTCAAACTTGTGAGCGATATCCCCTGTAAAGCGACAAGCAGTCAAATCCAAGTTTCTTTCATTCATGCTCAAATGCTTTGAGCGCTCACCAGGTTTGCTGCAGCTTCCTCTTGCTTCAGGTGAAACATTCCTTCCAGCGTTGCTCGATCCAGGTTGACGTGTTGTCTAGCCTGGATGCTGCAATGGTTGCCTCGTGGTCGTGGAGCGATGCGAATCGAATCCTCCATCCTGCCTGCAAGACAAAGGAGGGTGGGATAGTAGGATTTCTCTTCAAGGTGATGAGGTTACACGAAGTTCGAATCCCGTGTCGACGAAGACGATGCGTCGAAAAGGTTAAAATAAGGGAGCAAGGATGCCGGGACACTGGAGTTGCCGATTAGGGTGAGGGTTGACAATAGCGTTCTAGAGAAGGCGAGAGGAGAGAGGAGACAGGAGAGAGGAGAGAGGAGAGGAAGGAGACAGGAGAGAGGAGAGAGGAGACAGGAGACAGGAGACAGGAGACAGGAGACAGGAGACAGGAGACAGGAGACAGGAGACAGGAGACAGGAGACAGGAGAGAGAGGAGAGAGGAGAGAGGAGAGAGGAGAGTGCGCGCTGGGGAGGAGGGGGTGAGATACGAAGAGCAGGATAGAGCTCCTGGAGGAAGAAGAAGGTGCAGATGGGGCCAAGAGTGGCTCGAGGGAACGAGTGCGCAGGGGAAAAAGGTGTGCTTTGACGAATTGGTTACACCCTATCACCCCCTTTTCAACATTCAGATTGGAGGGTGGGGTACACATTAATTTAGTAAAGAGGGGGTGGAAGGGGTGGTCAGGCACAACAGGGTGAGTTGGGGTGGGGTGGTTCAACCATGGGCGGTGGAAAAAGGGGCATAAGTGAGAATTCCAACGAGAGGGTAGGAGCTTCATCTTCTGAACTTAAGGACTGACTTATACTTTCATGGACCTTTGGGAGGGATAATCGGCCGGGTCATCCCTTCAAACAAGGATCCTCAGCCCCCCTCCTCACACGACCCCAACTTTACTTAAGGTAGGACCCCTGCAGCTAAATACAGAGGTGTGTAATAGGCAACCCCTCCATTTTACCAAAAACTACCCTACCACCCATCAGGCCCTGTCCTCTTAAAAACCACCCACCCCAAGAACAAGGCTCTTCATCTCTCTGGTATCTCTGGACCACAAAAATTAAATAATCCTGCCTAAAAATATTTTTTGCCATTTGCAACCCTCCGGTCAGCCACCCACCCTACTTCAGCACCTTTATCTTATGCCTCCCTCACTCCCTGGACTCCGCGAGCCTCACAGAGTCAGCCGCCCTTTTAGCCTTCTGACACTCGAGTAAAAGGCCCTTACATCCTACCTTACTGCAGACTGCTGCACCGACACATGCAAAGCAAGTACCCCTACCCACCTTGTTGGCTATCACACGAAGTTGCGTCTAGGAGAGGGCGAGGCCGACGAGGCCGCAGTGTTGCCTCGCCGGGCGGCTTCGACCCCGGGCCCTTGCTGCTCCGAGCCTATGACCCGTATCGATCTATCGTCGAGGTATGCCCACCAAGATTCGGCCCTGGCAACTCAGGCCGTGCCGTGTGACGAGTGGCGGTCTTTTCTAGACTTTTTACTCGGATGATGACCGGGAACTTTCGTGGGAGGGGGGGGATCTCGGGCTGTAGGGGCAACCGTCAGTGTAACAGAGCAGGTCGGCCTCTGAAGTTAGCCGGACGAGGCCTTGAAACATCTCGATCTCAAGGTTGTCAGACGGCTGCCACGTGAGGATGGCCCCGGGCCGCGGCGTGACACTCAGGCGTGACTGCTCTCGTTCCAATCAGCGGCGCCGGGGGCCGGCGGGGGGCCGGGCCCGGCCGCCGCCGCCGGGCCGCGGGCAACCGTCAGCCTCCGATCCGTCAACAGCCTGCTACGGTACTGATTTTTCACCGTTAACTTTGAGTAAAAGCCTGTCCTCGACTCAGTGACTCTGCCCCACAGAGTCTCCTGATTGTCCTCGTATCGGATTTTTAATTTAACTTTGAGTAAAAGTGCCAGTCTCGCCCCAGCTGAGCGGCCCGGCGGCCCGGCCGGGCGGGCGGCCGCCTCCGACTCGCCGGGTCGGAGCGTACGGTCGCCCGCCGGCTGAAGGCTCGGACTCAGAGTACACGCCGGGCGGTCCGATCAGCGTGACCGACCGGCGCCGGCGCCGGCGGGCCGGGTGCCGCATTGCCACCCGCCAAAGGCCTTTCTTCCCATCATCGCCAGCACTGATGGCCTCTTGCAGGACGATGCGTTGCGCTTTCTGTGGTGGCTGGCGGATCGCTCGGCGAACAAGGAAACGCCTCGCAAGACGTCTCAAACGGTGATCCGACTTGCAAACGCATCCGATCACCAGGAGCGGCGTCTCATTCCAGTTCGGCGGCGGCCACCGCGACCGACATCGCTGGCATGGCCGCGCGGGCGGGAACTTGTCCTGCGCGCCGTTATTCTCTTCTCGCCGTTTGGCCTGTGCGACAGTGTCAGGGTCAAGCCGCGCCCTCCTTGACTCTCAGGGGCCTTATTGTCCTCGTACTATCACTTATTTTTAACTTAACTTTGAGTAAAGACAGTCAGACAGTTACACTTGGCAGTACCGTACTGTAGTCAGGAGGCTGTACTATGCTGAGAGCCCGGGTCAGGGTCGGCGTCCGAGAAAGTCGGGGCCCCGGCGGGCAGGCGGCAGGGCAGGCGGCTCACAGCGGCCGCCGCCCGCCGGGCCCGGCCCGCCGCTGTCGCCCTGAAGCTTCAAGTTCTCTTCTCGCCGTATGGCCTGTGCGACAGCGTCCAATCAGGTCAAGCCTCCTCTCAGTCTACTCTCGGAGGGCCCCCTGAGGCTGCTCCGAGCGGCTCTGAGGGCCCGGCCTGCGATGATTGTACGGTCCGACGAGGCTCGTACCGTAGTACCGTGATTTTTAACTTAACCGTTTGAGTAAACGTCAGTGTGGGGATGAGGGTATGGGGGAGAAGGGGCGGCCGCTATCAGGCGGGTTGAGTGAAATGGGCGATGAGGAGATGGCGGAGGGAGGGAGCGGAGGGGAGGAAGAGAGGCGAGAGGGAGGGGGGAAGGAAGCAAGGGATGAAGAATGCATGAGGAGAACAACGTCAAGAGCGGACAAGAGGAGTAGGAGAAGACGGGGATGGGAAAGAGGCGGTGTGAGGTCCAGCTCAGCTCCTTGTCCCCTTATATGTCTCGGTGGTTGGGTGATGCTACTTGCCTTGGCGACTGGACTTCAGGTGGGGGAGGGAGGAGGAGGAATCGACGCGAGATACCAGGGAGTAAGAGCGCAGAGTCATACTGCCAGCCCATTTCTTGCCAAGGTCGTTCCAGAAAGATCCCGATGGGCTTGGGGGGCAGAACCTCCAGGATCATTGCATGAGGGCATCCTGATGGGGCACACGAGCATGAGACTCGGGAGAGGATCGCAGCAAAGAGGCTGCACGGATGATACGTGCTTGGATCTGAGTCAACCAGAGCCATCTGTGCTGAGAAATCGCTGTCAAGGGGAGCGCAAAGAACTGGCATGGTTGCCGGGCATGGCGCCGAGCAGCCTCACGAACAAGTTTGTGAAGCGTCACCATGGGGGGAGGGTGTGTAAGATGAGGAAGCGAGAACCTGTGCTGCAGAACAGAAGAGGAGCGGCGTGTCTTGGCATGCAGGAGGATGCAGACAACGAGCGGAGGCCCGAGTCCATGTACGTGCAGCTACTGCAGAGAGTCTACCGGGCGAACTTTGGCATCGACATCAAGGATGAGGCACAGCTCTTTGACGAGCTCGAGGAGGAGGGGAGAGGCTCTGGTGGCGTCGAGGAGCAGCAGAGCTCTTCGAGGAGGAGGCTCCTGTCCACTGTCGCCTCGATCCTGATTGCTGCCTGGACTCTAACGCTACTGCCATCCCCTAGGGTGCTGGCGGGAGACTTCGATGCTGGAGACTTCCAGAAGGGAGAGACGGTCTTGTTGGACGTGAAGAAAGCAAGAGAGTCGTGCAGCGACGGGTGGGCGATGAACTGGAGGACGACGGGGAAGGCGAGCGTGTGTCTGGAGGCGGACGGCTGTCTCTGGAGGAAGGTGGAGTTCGGGAGGGGGTCGAACTTCTACGAGCAGAGCTTCCGCAAGGCAGAGGAGACTTACTCTGTCTCCTTCATCAACTACCTCGCCAGGTTCGTCCTCAACTACGACAGCAGGTGGCAGGAGTGGTGGAGCATCCGGCAGCGGGCCCTACGCCCAGACTTCAACGAGCAGCAGGTGGCAGAGCAGCTGGGCAAGGAGCTGAGGAGGTTCTCGGGGAGCGTCGAGTACGGGCTGGGAAGATACTCGGGGGAGGAGGGGGTGAAGAGACTGTTTGCAGAGCTCCAGCTGCACTACGGGGACATGGGGTATGAGGTGAACCGTCAGCTGGTGTCAGCGTTCGCGCTGCTCGAGGTGAGGAAGGAAAGGAGGAGGGAGGAGGGGGGGGGGGA